GTATTATTTCTATAAATTCCTCCTTATTATATACTTAGTATGTTTCCACGTCTGCAGTAAAAACTAATGCATATAATGGCCCTCCCTGTTGGCGCAGCGGGTTAAAGCACAGCTCTTAAGAAGCTAAAGCCACTTAGCTTGAGTTCTCTCCCGCCCTGGAGGTAATTCACATGGCGCAGCAGACCTCCTCTGACCCGTCCACTGCTCCCCTCAGCAGTGTACTTTGTCATTTGGCCTGTTCTGCTCCCCACTCTGTCCCTGGTGAATCCTCTCACCACCTCTAGACCTCTGGCTTGTACCCTAGTTCTGCATGCATAAATAAATAAATCTTTTTTAAAAAATAATGTATATAAATATATATGGAAAGCTAAAACACTGAAGTCTCATAATTCATTATTTAACTATTAGAGTTGTTGCATTAATTTTTCTTTCTATGACACATGATATTTTACAAGATTTTGATTGTATGCCAACCTATTTGATAGCATATATGCCCCACAATCACCTAGTTTCCATTTGCTGTATCTAAAGAGGAATGCAGTTATTGAGCGAAATCCACCTTCATTTACATTATGGGTGAAATAAATGTGCTTTATTTATTTATTTATTTTTATTTGAGAGCATATTTCTAGGGTTTGTTTTTGACCTGGAGTTATCTTACATTTTGTTTTGCTTCTCTGTATTCTACGTATGAGTGATACTAAAAGTGTAATCTCTCATTCTGGCTTATTTCCCTTAGCAACATCCTCCCCTGTTCTGCCCATGTTATGACAAATTACACGAGCTTATCAATTTTGCCCTCTTTGTGAATCTACAGGTTTGTCTGTTTTGTTTATTTTTTCAAAGAACCGATATTTGGATTCATTGATCTTTTTGACTTCCATTACACTTTTTCTGTTCTCATTTGGTTATTTCTGTTTAATTTAGACCTAAGGTTGAAAACAATGACACTTCAATTTTTGTTACATACTTTTGGTAAATTTTTTGAGACTTAGAAAATGTAGTAAGAAAGATTTGTACTATAACTATTTTTTTAAATGTTGACAATCTAGTCAACAAGCATTTATTTTGAAAGTCAAAACAAAGGTTTTTAATGCTTAAGAAAAAAATGTATATCAGAAATATAGTTTTATTGAATTCATAATTCTGATTCGGGAAACACTGTTTTAATCTTCAAGCCTTATATTAACCTCTGATTTGACAAACTTCAGAAGATGTTATTTCCCTGCCAATTCCTTTCTCTCACTTTCTAGAATAACAAGTGAAAAAAATCAATAGTTGCACTTCTGTGTCCTAAAATCAGTTTTTCTCATGTGGAGGGATTAATGTATTTCTGCTTTCTAGTATTGGCACTCCAGTGTTGTCACAATATGCCAAATTCACGTGTTATATAAACTTGGGTTATAAAAAAATCAGTACATTGGAAATGTTCAAAACAAATGTTTTATGTAGTGAAGCTTTATTTTAAAACAAAATTCTTTTAGCTTAGTCCTTTTAAAAAGAAAATGCAACATCTGAGCTCTCTATTAGTCTACACATGTTCTCCACATCCTCTGCTTCAACACATTAACCATTTAAAATGTGTGCAAAGAGACCTAATTGACAGACTAAGGATGAAGTCTCAGCACTATTACAGGCCATGTCTTCAGTTTAATCTCAGACGAGGGAAGTGACCCACATAGCATAGCAAACCTCTCCTGTTAAGTCCACTGCTCTCCTTAGCAGTGTATTTCAGTAGATCAGCTTATTCTGATCCCCACTGTTTCTGGTGAATCCTCTCACCTCTTCCCATATCTCTGGCCTACACACCAGCTCTATGCAAAATTAAATAAAATCTTAAAAAGACATGAGCCTCGTATATATTTATATAGGTCTCTTCAAAAAGCAATTTGCTAGTACATAGTGTAGCTCTGAAATTTTATAGAGGCAATTTATAGAATAATTTAACAAAATCAAAAAGTTGTGCATAAAACATAAGAAATATAACAGAACTATATTCAGAACTTCCCCATTCAACATTAAAGGAAGAATCAACATAATTGAAATTTTGACACAGAAAAGCTCTAATTATAGTATCTATATCGTATATAGAACAGGCTTTAGAATACGTAGTTAACCATTTTATCTAAAATAATCTATACTGACAACCCTGTAGAATATGTATATTTACATAAGAAAGGAATATGCAAAAGTGAGTAGATTATAGGATTTGCAAAGTTCTGGAAACTGAAGTCCATGTATAAGCGATGAATCTATGAAGTAGACAATAGGTTTTCTTTCCTTCAATTTTATAGAAAAAAAAAGGAAAGGACTCATAAATTTAGATGATGAAACAGTACAATCAATAAACTATTGAAGAACTGGAAATTGAAACCATGGTACCCATCTTTTAACCAAGTGACATACTGATCTTGTACTCTCACAATTGAATTTCTTAAACTTTTGCAAGGATTATAGTTGATCTTGCATGTAAGTAATTATACCATAAAATGTAATAATTTTATATTAATACATAGTAATATTGATTTATGATATTAATCATGATTTTACATATGAGTAGGGCATGTTCAAAAATTGTAGATCAGTAGTACTAATCAACTTCAAATCTACATGATTTACTTTAATGTTGTAGTTTTTCTAGTATCACAACTTAATCCATTATAGTCATAATTTAAGAATATTAACATAGTTTCCACTGGATAAATTTATTAATTATAGTTCATTAGTAGTGAATGTGGCTCAATTTAAATGGTGAGTTATTTGAACGCATTTTCTTTCTTACATTATCCATTTCTGTTTTTGCTTATAATCTAAGCTTCTATTTCTTAGCATTTTATGTAGTTATCACTTATTTTTGAGAATATATTTTCACCCAGTAAAAAGTCTTTTATTGAACAGCAGGAAAGAACTTTACATACAGTTTCTAAAGTATTTATATTTTTTAGGAGAATAATACTTGTAATTCTCACACATTTGAAAAATGCATTTTCCTTAAACTATAAAAACAACATTCATAGAATCAGTTTTTTCAAATTGTATTTTCATCTGTTTGCATGAATTCATATATATTAATAGATTTTTGAAAAGGAATTGGCAAGGTATATCATGAGTTCAAAATTATATTTCTAATTTGAGTTTACTTCTGCAGAACTTTTGCTTACCTTAACTGCTCTTATCTATCTTCTTAGACAAAAAAATCCATAGTTTTGTTTTAATTAATATAGTTAATTAACATAGTTACTTGTTTGTTTTATACCTTAATATAACAGAAATTAGAAATGATAATAGCAATATCATAGCCACCAACAGTATCACTACTAAAACCAGTTTGTGTGGTTTTACTAAGTCTTTTAAAGAGATCACATTTTATCTTATGCTAAATTACTGAGTTTTAAAGTCACTTTAAGTGGTTTCTCCTCCAATTCAATTTACAGTTATTATCCTTTAATTTTCAAGAAAAAATTTTCAATAATTATTTATTTATGCATACAGAACTGGGGTACAGGCCAGAGGTACAGGAGTAGTGAGGGGATTCACCAGAGACAGTGGGGAGCAGAACAAGCCAGTTGATGAAATACACTGCTGAGGGGAGCAGCGGGTAGATCAGGAGAGGTCTGCTGTGCCATGTGAGTCACTTCCCCGTTGGGGAATTGAACTGATGCTGAAGTGGCTTTAGTTTCATAGTGCTGTTTTAACCGGCTGCAACACTAGCAAGGGTCCAATTTCAAGATTTTTAGCGGTAATTGGTTTTCTAGTCATTTAAATTGTTTACAGTGCTCTAAAGTGAATCTTCAATATCGGTATTATCAGAGACATCCAGCTTCTGACCTAGTGTCCATCCTCGTGGTCCCTCCTCACCTACACACATGGTAACCACTGTTACCATTTTTTTATTCTTAGGTTTACATTTAAAAATGGGTTATTACCCATTTTTCATCACCTGCCTCTTTCTTTTAAAAATATGTAATGAAATGACTTCACTGTAATCATACATAATCACAATGCCTTTGTACAACTTCATCTCCCAGTTGAGGTAACATGAATTTGTTCAATCAGTCCCTTAGGATGTGCATTTAAGTTATTTCAAATCTTTTCAAATAAAGCTCAAGGAGTCTCCTTGAAAATATGTCATTTTTTTATTTGTGTGGTTTATATATATATGTATTTGGGATATATTTCAAAATACCAATGCATAAATAATATTTTGCTTTCAAATGGTTGATTTCTCTTCGTAAATGTACCATATACATTCCTGCCAACAACGTATTAAAGTGCTTGTCCTTACTATACTAGTAAGATAAAAATAGTATCTCAGTGTTTTGAATTTGAATTTGTCTTATTAGTGTTTTTGTTGTTGTTGTTAAAGATCTTTTGTATACATTTTAGGTAAATTTTGCATCTTAACACAGATAACATTTGTATTGGATTGCTAAAGTAATTATTAGACAAAAGTATAGCCATGTCTCTGAAAATAAACTTCACAAGCTAAATATTTCCATTTTATTCAAATGACATAGAACACATATAAAAATAATAATCCTCAAGTTGATATGCAATAATTTCTTGTAGTTAAGAAGTTTGTGATACAAACTATAAAATAATACGATTTTATTATAAAGTGCTGTCTTGAATGGAAAGAAAAGGTTATAAATTACATTGTAATTGTAGAGGGATTTTCTGTGGCATATTTAGATTTGATAAAATATAGAAGTCCAGTGTATTGTATTTCCTGTCATATCTGAATCCAGTCAGGGGAAGGAAAATGTCCTGTAATAAAGAAAAAACTATGATCTCCAATCCTTATTCTTATACTATTTGAATTTTTCCTATGTTTCCTAATAGCATTTCTGAATTTATTTTCATATTTTATTTGGATTTAATAGACAAGTTCTTAGGTCTCCTTCCATAAGAATCATGTTTTCTTTAGAATACAAAATTTTAAGGAAATGATGGTGGAGAATAGTTCCTGCCAAATAATTCTTTATTTTCTTTCTTTTCAGCACCTTCCCTGATAGGTATGGTAAGGAAGGACTGGGCTTCCCAAAACAGTATTGCACTATCATGGCAAGCACCTGCTGTTTCCAGTGGCACCATACTGGACTACGAGATCAAGTACTATGAGAAAGTAGGTCTTTCTCTGATCTTCTTTACAAACAGCATACACATATACTTGTATATATGTATATACTGAGCCTCTTGTTAGGCTGTTATTTTCCTTTAAGATGGGTTCTTCTTTGGTTTAACCTCATGCTTTTATATATTTGACTACTCTCCAGTTTGCTGTTGTGCATGTTATTTCTCAATTAATTTGTCTTATTTTAGGTCAGATAAAAGACACGAGATGGTGAGACTTATATGTCAGACTTAAACCCTACAGATTTTTACAATTTAGTAAGAAGTAGTAGCTCCAAAACTTGCCATTAATTTGAAATAACGTTGTTGCTACAATTGAGAACAAATGACAAATGGAGTTCACTATAATGTAGAGAGAGTTTGTATAGGCCATATTCTTTGCATGAGTTGAAAGTTATAGTCCCACAGTAAATTGCAAAGAACATTTTAATGATAAATGTGAATAACTGATTAATTAAATTTTTTCTTTATATTCAGGACAACTTTTTTATTTGATAATAAGGTAGAAATAAATATGGTTAAAACACAAAATGTTAACCTTAAAATTCCAATTTTTGTTTTAAAAATTGTTCTCTATTTCTGTATTTTCCCAATTTATATACTCCCTTACCTTTATTTTATTCACACTTTATGCTTCCTTCTATTCTTCACCATTATGTTGCTGGCTTTAGATGTGGTAGTTAACCAGATGTCATTTCTGATAATATCTTTCATTATGCTAAAACTACTCTAAATATTGATAAAAGAAACATTAACTTCAAAAAATAATTTAAGTGCAAAAAATTATATACAGTATCTACATTACATATGATAATAAAAATTCTTGTTTTTCTGTAATTTACTAGAAGCAAAAGAACATCATAAATACATTTAGATTTTCTATGAAGAAAAAGGTCAAGAAGAGAAATAAGAGTGCTTTTTTTTTTTAATCCTGCTGACAAAATGATAATGTAAAAACTTTCTCAATTAGGACTTCAAATTCTGACTGTATAATGAACATATCAGTATCTATCACATCATTTCTTCTTCCTAGAAATTTTTTTTTGTGTGCATACAGAACTGGGGTACATGCCAGAGGCTCAGGGATGGTGAGAGTCTTCACCAGAGACAGAGTGGGGAGCAGAACAGGCAGATAGACGAAGTACACTGCTGAGGGGAGCAGCGGGTGGGTCAGGAGAGGTCTGCCACGCCATGTGGTCACCTCCTGGGCAGGCGGAAATCGAACTCATGCGGAAGCAGCTTTAGATTCTCAGTGCTGTGCTTTAACCCATGCGCCACCAGGGAGTGCCGAAAAATACTTTTATAAAAGTTATAATTGGAATAACTTATGATAGAGCATGTAGTTAAAAGTGCTAATTTCCTTCTTTTTTAGGAACCTAAATGTTATTCACTAAGAAAAGATAAATGAATTATCCCATTTTGGGAAAACAACTGTTCCTCTTTGGTATATGACTAAATGAGTGTAGAGAAGTACAGAATGAAAGAGGTTGTTCTTTCAATATTTGCCAATTGAGGTGGAGTGAAATGAACGGTGGGGATACATGGGTGGAGACAAGAAAGAAAGAGGGAGACAGCAAGTGGAGTTCAACACGGGCAGTGGATATATAGATGTTTCCATGGATGGCTCCTAACTAATTTGGGGAATTATTTTAGCTTTAGTTGTTAAAAAATACACTTTGAGACAAGTAAGTGACGTAAGAAAGTTCCCAGTAAAACTAGAAGAGGGTGAAAGAAGGACTGTGGAAAAAAAGAGATCAAACTCGCAGTGACCCAAAGAACTCTGCATTCTAATTATATCTGAGTTTATCTTATGGAGACAGTCCAGCATTGGCCATGGGACTGAATGGTGGCATATATGCTGTGTGAACAAAAATATTATAAGCACTTTTATTTCTGTATAGTGGTTTCTGCAGCCAACTAGTTCTGTATAGTGGTTCTAAAGCAGGTGGCAGGAACAAGGTTAAGGGGTGGCAGCAGGACAGGATCCAGCAAGATCTGGTGGCACCAACTATTAACTAAAGAACTTCACTACATGGAGAGAGATGCAGAATTTGAATCTTTGACTTCATTGTAATATTCATATTATCAATCATGTATATTGTTACCTAAGTCTTTAACTTAAGGCATTTACACATTAACACTGTGTATTACTAACACCTAATTAATATGTAAAGTCCCATATTAACTTTACTCTGATGATTGTGCAGTTTTATTAAGTTTTCATTGTGTTAAAAGCCTTGTTCTGCAAATCAGGAAAGAAGTTAAGCTGCTTCAGTGTCAAGTATCTACAAATATCTGAAGTCAAACAACATATTATTGTTATCAGTGACTTTTGCTCAGAAAATGTGATATTTTGAGAAAAAAAGCACTATCTGGGTGTTATAAAAATGAATTATTTTTTTTATTACAAGACCTTTGTCCAAATATAGAACCTACCCATAGTGGGAGAATTAAGAATTCATCTATCTATCCCCGTTGTCTCCCACCTCAAAATGTTGGCAAGCTTTCTTGTCACAAAATATCAAAAATATTATCAAACACCAAACATACACTTTCCTTATCTCTTTTCTTCCCCCAACTTTTCAACTTTATGTTCATATTCTCATTTTTCTTCACATTTTTCCTCTGTCCAGATACTCACATTTTTTATTGCTTCATTGTTATTTTAATGTACTTATTGAAACTAGTGTTGATAGAGTTATTTATGTATGCATCTGACCCCCTCTCTGTCTTGGGAGCCACTAAAGAAAGGTTATTTCTTGTCTGGCTTTGTCACCAACCTCCAGTCAGTACCTACCAAAGCTGTTTGCTTACGATCAAATTTTAAAGAATTATCTTTGTCCGGAACTCATTCCCAGGCAATTGAGAAGTTGAGAAAAAAAAGCCAACCCACTGTGAAATTTCCTCTGGCAATTAAAGGTGAAAAGAAAACCTCTAGTGCTTCCTTTTTTTTTTTTTTTGAAGATTTATTTATTTATGCCTATAGAATTGGAATACAGGTCACAGGTGCAGGGGCGGTGAGAGGATTCACCAGAGACAGAGTTGGGAGCAGAACAGGGGATAGATGGAAATACATTGCTGAGGGGAGCAGCAGGCGAGACAGGAGAGGTTCTGCTCCACTATGTGGATCGCCTTTGGAGCCAGGGATCCAACTCAGCACTGAAGCAGCTGCGCTTAGCTTATAGTGCTGCGTCCTAACCTATTGCGCCACCAGGGAGGGTTTGCACTTTTTATTTCTACCTGTTCATAAGAAATATCAATAAGCAAGTATCTATCAGATAAGTGATGTTCTTTTAATAATTAGAATATAAATGCATGTCCACTTTCATATTTCCAACACTCTGAAATGGAAATAGCTAAAACTTATAAATTTATATTTATATTTATAAATTTATAATTTTATATTTAAAAATAGTTGGCTAGTTATATGGCAGGTACTTTTTTTCAATTTAAGGAAGATATAATTATTTTATTTTTTATTCGATACTTATATGTTTATTATTTTATTTTTCAATGTATTCATACAGCATTCTTCATCTGTACATATTCAGTTCGGTTGTAATACTTGTGATCTTCCCATCGCCAATTCTTGCATGTGCCAGCACCATAGTCCGTCCCATGTGCTCTGCCCACACAAGCTTTGATCCAGTTATAATTAGAATTGAATTATTTAATACATGTCAGGTAAATTATTTAATACATGTAAAGCACTTTAAAAAATACCCGACATGTATTAAATAATTCATCTGACATGTATTAAATAATTCAGTTCTAATGACAACCTTTTGAGATCAGTATTATCACTCCTCCCATTTTACAGATGAGAAACTATGGCACAGGAAGCTAAGTAATCACCAAACTCTCAGTAGTGAAAGGTTGTTAAAGTTAGACTTGTTACTTTAATCATAATTGAATGCCTCACAAACGTCAGTGCTTTCTGCTGATGCTGATTTTCTGGGTTCCCTGAGGCCAAACATTTCATTATTCTCTAACGCCCAGTTTGCTACTCTAAAGTGGTGGCGATAAAGCTCACCTGTCTCACCAGAGTGTTGTAGAGCACCACTAATTACCAACTGTAGCTCATCTTGAGAACATAATCCCCTCATAACACTTTATTATTCTTATATTCAGTGCTTAAGACACTGGTTCATCTTTTCCTTCATGTTTTCTTATTAAGCTTTACCTGTCAGCAGTTTTTACGTTTTATGCAGGAAAACTCATCATGAGAAAGGAAGCATTCTCCTATCCGAGTGATCATTGATTATCTGTATAATGTACTGAATTAATGTGACTTCCCATTGTTTCACCTAGCCCACTAGTTATAGCATAAGATACTAGAGTTTTATATAAAAACAGATAAACCCATGCCATGTGTACTGTGTATTTTTTTTTAAAGGTGATGATATTTGTGGGAAGATATTCATTCTGTGGAATGTTTTCATCACTCAGGGATGTTTTAACGTACTTCCTTTGGAAAATGGTTGAATTTTGAATGTCTTTTTGAAAGTTAATCTCTCTCAATGTCAAACTTTGTCCACATTTCCTTCGCCTCTCCCATCTTATTCTGCTTTCTCAAGAATTATCTGGGAATACCCAGATAACAGTAATAAGTCTTTCGTTTTTCCTGAAGATATAGCAGTAAATGAAGAAATAATCAACTGAAGAAAGGAAAAAAATCATTCCTTCCTTCCTTTATTGCAGTATCAGTATACATTCCTCATTTTCTTTTGTTGCAGTTCCTTTGCTTAGGTGTTTATCCAAGAGGCGAGACTTTTCACTTGCATGAATGCTACTCTTACCTCCATCCACTATTTAGGTACAGAAACATGTCCATTCTCTCTTTCCTCCTCCTCTGTGACCACCTAATTTCCATACTGTGCAATTAAATGTAGACTTGCACGTGAACCTACAGGCGATCGTTATACCAGAACTTAGAAAAGTGTGACCGAAGGAAGGCAAATGGATCACATGAGGGTCTTTTTGAAATGCAGG